GCAAGACCTGCTTCCCGCGGAGGGCGACGTAGCCCGGGCCCAGGCGGCCCAGAGGGGCTGTGGAGTCTCCTTCTCGGGAGATATTCAAGCCCCGCCTGGACAAGGTCCTGTGCAGCCTGCTGTGGGTGACCCTGCTTGGGCAGGGGGTTGGTCTGGGTGACCCACAGAGGTCCCTGCCAACCCCGACCATTCTGGGATTCTGTGAAAAGCACCGAATCCCGCAGATTTGGGTAAGAAGGTGTCAACCTTCTTGCGCCCTCCCTGGCAGTGTTCAAGGCCAGGTTGGATGGAGCTCTGAGCACCCTGGTCTGGTGTGAGATGTCCCTGCTCATGGCAGGGGGGTTGGAACCAGATGACCTTTAAGTCCGTTCCAACCCAAAGCATTCTCTATGGTTCTATGAACCACAGCGTCGCCTTCGAGAAAGGAGCCTCCCGGGTGCCAGCACTGGGTGACGACACCCACCACAGGTCTCAGATGCACGACTGGTTGGCCGTTTGCATTTCAAAGCGTTGGTGAGCGTGCCCTCACCCTTCCCAAAGCCCAGATCTAACATCCGGGGTAGGCGCCTTTCACTGCCGCAGGCTAAACACAGTGCACGTTTGTGGCAGCCGCCCCTCCTTGGTCGCACCCGGGCCGCGGAGTGATGCTGAAATTCAGCTGGGACCACCTCCAAGAACCTCCTCAAGCGAGTTAGGCTCTCCCTGGGGTTTTCCTTCTCAGCTCACGGTGCTCCAGCCACGCTTTCCCACCCTGGGACTCTTCTGCAGCCCAAAGCATCACCTGTGGCCTCTCCTCCCGGCCTTTCGCCGTAACTATTCACACTGAAACGCTTTATTGTCTCCAAGAAGTAAAACCCCTCTTTCTCACCAAGCCTCCATTACGACGTTGGAGGAAAAACTGCCTTTTACAGCTAAGTTCTCCTGTCCTCAGGGTGTGAAATCAGCGCTCGGGGAAAAATCCCCCACCAGAACGACTGGGAATTCAGGGATAACTACGACACCAGCTCCGCCTTGGCCTCGCGGGCACAAAGAGGACAGATGAGCCCAGGGCTGTGGTCCATGCGCCAGCCCGGCTTCCCCTGGCACAGGGCACTCCAGTGGCCTCCGCTCCCCGGCTGCGGCTGGACCAAAGGGGGGACGCTGCTCCCTGAGTTGCCACACACGGACCGGAGGACGCTGCCGGACACATGGACAAACTCAGAGGAGCCGTGGTCAAGCCAGGCCAGATCCTCAGGCCAGCTCTCCGAGCGCTTGCAGCTCCCATTGCCAGCAACCGAAACATTAAATATTAAGCAAAGAGAGTTAATCTGTACTCAGGAGATCGACCCAAAGCGGAGAAGGGGAGCAGAAAAAGATCGATAAACATTTTTCAGAAATCAATGTGCCTCTCCAGGCTGCCGTGCCGGCGCTCACCAGACCCCCGAGCACAGCACCGAGGATGCGCCTGGAGGAACAAGAGGCACCAAGACGTGCCGCCCTCCCGGCTCTCCCCCGCGATCCGGAGCACCCCACCGGGACCCTCGGGTGCCTTGGGTGCAAGCGGGACCTCCTCGGCTGAGGGCAGAGCCCTGGCCGGGAACAGGCTCACCCTGTGCTCCCCTCTCCGGAGCCTGGGAGAGCATCCAAGCAGCAGCAGAGCAGACATCGATCGAAG